TTATATTTGATTCCTTAAGAAGGCTCATAAGGATATAAGTCATCGTGAATTCCTATTCCAAGCAGAGATAACTTGGTTTTAATCAAACAAAAAATGATTAATTTCAAAGTATACATAACTTGATTTGAAAATATCTTAATTATTAAATTTAAAAAATAATAAATTACAAAGTAGAAAAAACAATTTAAAAATTACAAATGGGATAAAGATATGTGCACACCCGAGTCAACACCCGGGTGTGCACACTCCCCTTTGAAAAAAAAATGCCCATCACTCACCCAGTCCAATTTTTTTTTTTATGTGAGGGTGCACATCCGGTCGGGTGTGCATCAATTAGGGTCTTTACAAATGTCACTTTTTCATGTACCGGGTTAAAATAAGTTTTGATGGACAAATGTATACCAATCAATCATAAATAGGCATTTTTTAAATTGTTTAATTAAATATTAATTTTGAACTCTCAATTTTAAAATTTTATATAAATAATGCATATAAAAATTATATATAAGTGAATCTTAACTAATATATATAAATAATTATTTATAGCAAGATTTTTATTAAAAAAAAGTGTTATACAATCTAATATAACATTATTTAAATTATTAGATGGAGAAAGATTTTCTAATATCAATGATTCTCTCTCTATCTAATGGTTTTTGCTTTTCAATTCAAATTATAAAATAAAGAACTTTTTTAGTTAATAATTAGGATATTAAAAAAAAAAAAAGGACTAAGATACAATTTCTTTAAGACTTATAGTATTTTTAAGTGTTTTATCGGTACTTCAAAATTAATTAATCCCTTATCTTGTTAATGCAAATCATCTACATTGAGATTAGAAAATTATAAAAAATTATCTCTAACTAGCCTCCATAAGAAATTAAATTTTGGTTAATAAATTGGGAAGAATAGCATAATAGCAGTTTTCGGTTTTTGGTTTTAATTTTTATAAATTTTATAATTCTAAACAAAAAAACTCATTTACTCTCATATATTTTTGTAACATATTATCATGATTATTAGAGAAATAAAAATAAAAATAATTTTTTATAATGAGAGAAAAA